AGCGACATAGAGTGGATGTGCGCAATGTATGAAACAGACCTAAGCTATAACTCCTATATTCCAATATTTGTCAGCTGCAGATATCTATAGACATAGAGCCTGTTTAACTGTTCATACCAGTAGTATAATGGACCACAGGAAGGCGAGCGCCCCCTTCCACGAGCACTTTAGTTAACAAATAAGCCACTGGCCGAAAAGTTGTTTCGATTGTAAAGCTTTCGCTCAGTTAACGAGTTGTCAGTTCCTGTATGCATGCCCGTGTCCGCCATGAAACACTCCTACCAGAGTGTGTGTATTCGATCGCCTGCAGCCAATCGGTGAACTGATGCAGTTTCATTGCCTACGTTTTACAAGACGAGATAGCTGCCGGAGCGCACTAAATGCGTTAACCAAGGCTCCATTGTAGTCGTTGTTGTTGTACAAACGATAGATAAGTACTTTATTCGTTGTGTTCAAAAGTCTCCGAATTTTGGCCGTTCCAATTATTATTCTTACGATGACAGTGGTCGGCAGGGTTTTCCCTCTCAACGTTCTGTTGACATCCCTTGTACTGCGTTTGCGAAAGTAAATGCGACAGCGACCGCAGGCTCTGTAAGTTTCATCATCATCTTCATTCCCCCAACTCGTTAAAAATTTATCTTAGTGCGTATGCTGAATAAATAAGCCCGTGTCTCCGTATATGGGAGCATGTGAACATAAAGGATGCTGTACTCCATTAGAAAATGCAGTCAAATTTACAAAAACAACAATCGTGCAGACCAACTGCTGCTGCAAGTAACCTCCTATATATTTCGTATTTCGTAGATTACCGCCCAACACAATTGCGCAGGTGATCACTTACAGATCATAGATGGTTCTTCGGATACAGACGCGTGGTACAAACGATGCGGTCACAGCAAACGGGAACTGTTTAATTCCACGAGGAACTATATGACTGTAGTCTTCGTCAGTAACAGTGACACACAGAAGAACGGATTTCGGGCAACTTTTAAAAAGTGTAAGTCATGTTTAATTTCACAACCTTTTAGGAATCATATAGATTTGAACGTTGTCAACTGTCGTTCAATTTTGTATATGATCATGCACACATAAATATTCGTTGCAAATGAAGTTACCTTGGTCCTGCATTTGTCGATTTTTAGTGGAGTGAAAATGCTGTTTGTGCTACAATTCGCCAAGCGCAACACTGTCATATTCGAATATTCCCATCCTAAACGGAAGGATAAAGGATAAACTGCCAGCGCAGACTACCTCGATGTGCATCTATTCCTTCACCTGCTCCTGTGGGGCAAACTATATAGAACGCACGAGCTGGCTTTTTTCCAAAATAGTACAAGGAAGTTTTCCCGCATCGTTAGGGAAGTGGCTAATAAAGAGCATTCCATTCTAGCGCACATAATAGACTCAGATTATCGCGTGGATGTCAGGGAGGCTTTCTGTGTGATCTTAAAGGAACCCTCAAACTATTCAAAATTCCTTGGACAGCGTATGTTGGCTACACCAGAAGCGGCTGTCATCAGGCCGCGCAGACCAGTCCTATGTGCTCATAAGAACTTTGTAACGGTGCCGCAGTTACTATGGCCGTAAGTCGCTAACCAATCTACGCGCAGCTCATCGCCTGTATCGGCTGCCGGTCCCCCTAGACACGAACAAGTGTTTAATGTAACCGCGCGCAACTCTCACCTGTAACAGCTCTCGGTCCCCAAAGACACTGCCATGTTGACCACAATTCAGTTCCCCCACTGTCCCTGAAAACTGCACTAATTCTGTCTACCAATCCGCATACTTTATTTACTTAAATTACAATATAACTATTCAAGCCTGAGGAGAATATATAACAAGCAAACGCGTGCGCGCTAATTTGTATCTTGAAAGACGTAAAACTTAAAACAAATCGCTATATCTTGAGAGCATCTTTCGCAAAATGGTGATATGCTTTCGTACAGCACTAGAATGACAAAGTTAAGCGCAATCACCATTTTTGCATAAAAATTTGTAAGTAACTGATGCATCCGCCGTTTGCACATTCGACAATGTTGCGATAACCATCAAGACTACTAAGGTTTTAGCTGTGAATTTCACCTGAATTCCAGGATTTCGGTTGGTAAAAGCGAACTGGTAGCGTAGAGCGGATAAATAAGCAATCCTGGTCGATATTGTCGCGCTACTGTAGCTTTGCCTAGGTCCAGTGCATTTCAAGCGCAGTTAAGTTAACCATAAACATCGAAAGCCGGATATTCAAGATAATGACATTATGAATGTTTTTTTAAAGTTTGGCAGTTAGC